AACCGTTTACTTAGTCTCGGTGTTTGGGAATGATCTTTCAAACTGGGTCCGGTGCTGCGTTCTAAGAAATGCACTTTACGTAGCCTTGGGGATCAAGAGCGACAGAATCACAGCTCTCGCGCTGTGACAGACCTGGCCTGCTAGAGACACATTGCTCTGTTGCTTCAGCTGTGCGTGGTATCAAACTGTCATCAGACGGGTCCCTTGGTTCATGGACGGGTGAATTCAAAACAGCTGACGAAGAAGGCCCATCAGGCAGCATGTTTGTATCAGATGCAGGACTCTCTGGCTGGTCTTCCGATAGCCTTTCGCCTTCGGAGGCAATAAATGTTATGTAGCCATTAGGATCAAGGGTGATTGAATCACAACTCTCGCGCCGTCGTAGACCCGGCCTGTTAGAGTTACTTTGCTCATTTGCTTCAGCTATGGGTGGCATCAAATGGGTATCAGACGGACTCTTAGGCTCAGGACATGGTGAGGGTAAGTTGCTATATTGGTGCTCCCCTTTCTCGTAAGCAGCTGGTGAGGAAGGTCTATCACACTGAATCAATGGCTTGTCCTCAGATGGCCTTTTCTCTTCAGAAATTGGTGGAGGTGGAATTACAAGAGATGCGCGTTTCTTTTCAAGAACGTATGGTACCTCACTGTCTGTAGAGGGGATTTCTGTTACGGCACTGAGTGGAGTAGTGTTCATGGCAGCGCCCGATGTCCTTCTTATTTGAGACAAGCGAGGTTGTGGATATCTGCTGGACTCTATCTCGCTCCTTTTCTCAGGATATGATGTCGGATAGCTTACACATCTAGGAATGATTTGGGTGGAAGTCGTGGATGGTTTCCTTGCAGGTGGCAGGGCTGGAGGTTTAAACCGGGCTCTTATTTCATCAGAAGGTGATGGCCACCGAACAGAAATTACTGAAGGTTTACGGGAAGGCTGCAACTCATCTGGATCGTCATAATCCTCATCAGATGCAACATCCACTGGTTCCGGAAGAGGTGCCGGAGGACGAGTAGCAATATCTGGATTTTCAGGATCGATAATCTGTCGTGTTGAAGCGCTCTTATTTTTGTTCATGGGTGGTCCGCCTAGGTTACGGCGATGTCTTATTACCTATAGAAGCAAATTGGAAAGGGCTGGTATGTTTAGAAACCTTAATTCTAGATGTTAGTTGATCCATAAAAACCCCAATTCATTAGGAGCATGTCTCAGCAAAAAGGTGGCTCTCCTAGTGTTGGTAACACTCAGAACCATCTTACCTTAATATAACTTTTTCATTCCTCACACACACACACTAAAACAATTTAACTCCACTCATTGTCGTATGTACGCCTACATTCGACCCCTTAGACACGCAACTCTGGATCCTATGATAGCCAGGTAAGAATTGACTTACCAAGATCGTTAATATCACTATTAGAGCCACAACAGCAGTGCAAGCAATCACAGTTCCAACAATAACTCCGGTTCGTCTGCCTTCATCGTCACCGACAAATTTATTTCTGGTTTTGTTAACTTGGTGCGGTTGTGACGTGATCTTTGGACTCTCAAGTGGACATTGTTCCTGATCAGCTGTGCATAGATTAACAAATCAATTTCACGACTATTGATTTTTGGATACTTATTTTTGCCTTATGCATTGTTGACTAGGAAGCAAATGGCTATTAAAATAGCCATATTACAAGTCACAAGGTGATATTAATAGCCTTTGCATTTGCTACAAGAAAAGCTGAGGCTGAAAGACGTATTCGAGTCTTTAATACATGGTATTACCTTCTCTGCCTCTATAGCACACTTCTGAACTAGCGCAGTAAGGTTGTTTTAATGGCACATCATCTTTGTCGTTTTTACACCAATAGCAGCCAACGACGCCTTCGCATGTTTGCGAACTGTTTCTTTCACTGCAGCGAGGATCAAAACATTTTTCTAATCCTGACGTAGGATCTTTGCATATCTTTCGAGGGACTGGCGAGTTCTGATTGCTCGTTGGTTGTATTTCAGGTACTGAGGGTGGGCAAATAGGATCGCTTAAAAGAATAAGACAAAAGAAGGGTTAATACTCAACATCTGATAAACGTGAATCATGCTCCCGCTTTCTTACCAATTAATTAACACGTGCCTGTCACTTGCAAATTTAAGGGAGTTATGTCATTTGCTTGGGTATTTTTTATCAAAAGTAAAATCATCTCGCAACAGAAATGAGATTCCTAAGAATAGTGTCATGGTAGGGTTATAATTCCGGAAGGTATGTCCTATCTTGTTTAATCATCAGCAACGTGAAAAATGAAATAGAACAAACAT